AGTGACTGGGGTAATCGGGATGGGTGTGTCAGAGGCGGTGCGGTTGGCGCAGGATAGAGCAGGGTTTAGGGCTGTTGTGCATAGGGTCGCTATGAGTTGGAAATGACTCGACGGCACATAACAACCACAACAACATGATTTATAGATTATTTATGTAATGTGGTGAGAATACAAAAAGGCTAGAAACTTTGCCTAAATTCATGCAGTTAATAAGTCTATGGAAACACTCAAACCCAAATCTGTTTTAAAATCTCATGGTCTAACCAACCTTTCTTATCCTACATATGATTAACAGCCTCTGCTGCCTGTGCTTTAATAGGTTAGCCATTGGATTCTCCTGAGTACCACAGATGTAGAAATGAGGACTGGCTCAGGTTAGAATCATAGCATAGGAGTTGTCCTTTGCTCTGAAAGTTGGTTGCTTCTGTTGCCCACACATATAATATATTTAATATTTATTGAGCATCTACTTTCCATAGTAATGTTTTTAGGTACTGTGGAATCTCACCTGACTCATAGCTGACCCACCAGTGGGTTTTTGGAGGTGGTAAATCACACAGGAGACTGCCCGCCTTTCGCTGTTGGAACAGCTGGTCGATTTAAACCCTTGTGTTTAGTTTGGCAGTGCAATTCCTTCACACTATGCTCCCTTTACATGGTAATAGCAGAGATAAATTACCTTCCCTAATTGAGCTTATAATTTAGTGAGACATTATAGTCACTTAGTGGAAATTTAGAGTCCCTGGGTAGTACAAAACTCAATTTCTAACCAAAAGATCTTGTGATTTGTGTGTGGAAAAAAATGGGTTAGAATAGTCAGACACTATTAGTTTGGTATAGGCTTGATTTTCATAGTCATTTAGTTACACGTTGGTCTAGTCATTTATTCATTAATATTTCTTTTAAATTGAGAATTTTTTCCTAAATGTTTATTAGCATTGTGGTTTTTAAAACTAATTATGTTGCAATTATTGTTGTTGTTAAGTACCATTGAGTCAAGCATGACTTTCTGAACCCTGTTCTGTAACTATCGTTGTTTCCCTATATTCATAGAGTTTTAGGAGGTATGTCATTTAGAAAGTGGATGCCTCTCCTGCTTCCAAGGCTGTCTCAAACTAGGAGCTCCATCAAACACTGTCTACCATGGGTAAACATTACGGCACTGGACACACTAGTAGCACGGTGTTCAGCATCATAGAAACCTCAGTTTACCTCAGTACAGCAAATTGACAGACTAATGCTGCACCAGTTAGAAAAATGTTCATCCCAAACACAATCAAAACCAGGCCCAAAGCTGCAGGCCCGATTGCTCAAACTGGCTTTTAATCATAAAGGCCCACCCCCCAGGTTCTGACTGACTCTAAGCAATAGGCTTCCAACCCAAAGTTCTCTGTTAGCGAAATCCAGCAAATCCAATCAGTTCACACAAGATTGTGAATGAAAAAAATAAAAAATTAGACAATGAGGAAAAGCAACAACACATAACATAGAAGTGATCTAGGAAACAAAATGAAGAATGACCTATATTAGCAGAATGGTTTTCACCTGAAAAGCAGCTTCGATTCCAGAGCAGATGGACGTTCCTCCTGAAGCTTGTGTAGGTAAATTTTTCACAAGCCCCTCTCTTTCACTGTTGCTTGTTATTTGGACTAGGTTACTTTTGACAGTGGCTGTAGAATCAAACTGAACCAATCCAACCCAGGATCCATTTTCAATGGTCTGTAGCAGAAACTGTTTAGCTGCTTGATTCATACGCTGTAGGCGTTGAGCAGTCTGAATAAAGAACAAGAAGAAAAACCATGTGCTTTTCTACTAGAAAGTAATAGCAGATTATAAAAAATGAGTACAGAGGATTTGTTGGAAAGAATTTCAGTGAAGACTGGCTTGTGTTATTTAAATTTTTTTATAGAGTTAAAATACAGTTACAGCTGTCACAGGACATATGCTAGTGTACAAAGTAGTAGAAATTTTAACTAGCATGAATTCTTAGCTGGTCTTCAGATTACCCTAATTAGTTGTTAATTGCTTATTGAGGACCTGTGTGTGACAGAGAAGTCCTGTTTTAGGCCCTGAGGATCAAAGATGAAAACATAGTCCCAAATCCTAGAAAAGCTCTTACTGTACTGGGACCAAAATGTGTAATTTAGATATAATATACAGCATTATAAGAGTGAGCCTACCAACATATATAAAGCATATACTAATAATATAAAGCATATTATTAAATGATGAACAGAAAGTTCAGCTAGAATCCCAGTTCAGTTCCACCTGGAGGAACTGGATACTTGTATTAAATATGAAAGATGAGGGAAGGGAGAGAACAGCTTCTCTGTTCAGCTATGAAGTCCTTAATATGTGGACCTCTGCTCTAGCACAATGTCTGTCACAAAGTAACAGACACTTCCTGAAGGGTAGCAGAAGACATTATGTGCTGATGTCTAATGCTTTTTGCTGTGTCCTGTTTCATTCTATATTTGCCCTTTTTCAACTATGTATTCATTCAGCCCTTTCTTGGTACACCAGGATACATCGTTCTTTACTTGGTCATTGGCAATCTGCAGTTGGATTTGAAGATTTGTTCTTTTTCTTATCACCACGCTAATCTGTGCCACTCTATTCATTAACCCTACTTTCATTATTCTCTTTCCTACCCAAACTGTCCCCTGAACTCCTGCAACCAAATTGCAATGAGAAACTTCTCAGCACATAGAAGTGTCTTCATTCCTTAAATGAAGATGGTTTTATGTTCTGAGAAATTTCTCATCGCAATATGTGTGTGTGTGTATAACTATATATGCATATATGTAGCGTGCTCTGGCAATGGTTCCACAGTCAGTGCTCTTGGTACCAGCAGCCAGGAAATCAGGGGATGAATTGCATTGGGAAAGTCAGATGTGAGGGACCTCTCAAGAGTACTGAAGAGCAGCAACATCAGGCTGGAGACTAAGGTGCGTCTGATCCTGGCTATAGTCTTTGCAATTACATGCTATGCATCAAAGAATTGGACAGTGAATAGGGATCATAGAAAGATAATTTATTCCTTTAAGCTGTGGTGCTGGAGAAGAGTGCTGAATATACCATGGACTACTAGGAGAATAAACAGGTTTGTCCTGGAGAGGGTGAAGCCAGAATGCTCCTTGGAGTCAAGGATTCTGAAGCTTAGTCTGACATACTCTGGGCATGTCACAAGGAGGGACTGGTCCTTGGAGAGGGACATCATGTTTGGGAAAGCGGAGGGACGGCACAGGAGAGGAAGACCCTTGATGAGATGGATCGATTCTGTGAGTGGAGTGGTGGGAATGAGTGTGTCTGAGACAGCAAGATTGGCACAGGATAGAACGGCATTTAGGGCTCTTGTATATAGGGTCACTATGAGACGCAAGCAACTCGATGGCACATAACAACAACTATACACACACACACACACACACACACACACACACACACAAGAAAAACGGGCTAGATTGAGTCAGATATTTTTCCTGTCTCTGATCATAAAGAGGTCTTTTGTATAATTGGTACTTATAATAAGCCCATGCTAATAATTATCCTAATTAATTTTATACTTTAACCTAGATTATTAAATTCAGCAAATTGCATTCCACTCTATTTTCAAATCTCTCAAACATTCCTAATACATAAAGGGCGCATGGTTAGAAACCATTTATATATTTCACTCTGTATTTCTATTCCTTTAGCTAAAGCTTTACTAAGAGTCCTCAGTAAAAAAACTTATTTGGGGAAATTAATAAAAATAACACCAGAATTTGGTTTAAATTTGTTTAAGTCTATTGATATCTTTCTTTCACTGTAATATGTCATTGCTCATCTTGAAGCGAGGACCCTAAGAAGTGATACAACTTAAAATTATCATGTACTTAAGAACAACTCAGGTATAGATAGAGAACAGTGTTTTCTTGGCCATTCTGTCATCAACCAATCTGCCACATCCCAGAAAAATAGAACCATGACACTTACCGACATGCTTCCAGATTTATCAAGAACTAAGCACACAATCCTTTCACTGATCCTCAGCAGTGAAAAGACCGGTGGAGGAGGTGTTTCTTCCATAGGAACAGTGTTGTTAAAATCCTCAGAATTGCTAATCACTTCCCATATGCTTCTGGAGTCACATTTTTTGTTTTGTAGGCTTGGCGCTTCTCGGTTATGGGTTTTTGCATTACAAAATTCAGTGACCTAAAAGGTTAATACGGTGAAAATAAAATTTTTATCTACTCTGCAACTGAACTCTAGTGGCCTAGTAAAAAGGAGGTAAGAGGTTAACTCAAAGACTTGTAGTTGGAATCCACCAAATTCACTGGAGACAGATCAGTAGTCTTCTACAATATGATTTAGTCTCTCTGAACTCACTAAAGAGTCAACAGTGAGTCAGTTCTGACTCAAAGGGACATAATAACAACAAGAATGTAAAACCACTGCTGCCTGGTTGATTCTGACTAATGACAATTCTTCATTGAGTTTTCTAGGAAGATACTACCCATCTTTGTCCTGTAAAGTGACTAGTGTATTTGAACTATCAAACTTTTGGTTAGTAGTTCACTATTTTACATGTTTTGCCTCCAGGACTCCTTTATATACTATATGATTAACAGCATGTTAAGAACATCCTGGTAGCATGATAGTTAAGTACTCTGCTGTTAACTGAAAGTTGATGGTTTGAAGCCGGCAGCTGCCTCATGACTGAAAATTCATGGCAATTGTAAACATTACAGCCTAGGAATGCTGATGGGGAAGTTCTATATTGTCCTATATGTTCACTATGAATTGAACTCAACTCAGTGACACATAACAAAATGCACTTTAACATCAAACTACAGACCCCCCAAAATTAAAAATATATTCTGAAAAAATGTTGCTATTGAATGAACTGTTATTCAATGAAGAATCACTATTATACTTGTGTATTTTTAATTAATAATAATAATAATAGTAATAATAGCTAATCCTTGTGCCAGCTAATACTCAAATAGACTGACTGACTCATTGTCCTAGATTTGGAATCAACTCATAGTTGATCCTCCAATGGATTTTTCCAAGGCTGTAAACCACAGGAGAGGAGATTGCCCATCTTTCTTTTGCAAAGCACCTAGTGGATTCAAATCACCTGACTTTGCATTCACATCAAAACTCCTTAACCACTAGGTCACCAGTGCTTCCTGATGCTCAAACAACCCTCTATTAATACCTTTATTTCCTAAGATCACCTGGATAAATAAGTTGAATACAATATCTTACTTAGTTTTAAATTATCAAAGCAATGACTGACATACTTACAGAATCAATACTTTGCATAAACATTATAGATGCCTTTTCATTTTGAACTTTGTTAGGAAAGAATTGACAATCTTTTTCATATAGTTTTGTCTTGGAATCGAGTCTGCACGCTCTAGTTACACAGCTGTCTCCTTGACACCAGTATACTTTATTTGTGCCAGTGATTCCTGTAGAACACCTGAAAATATTTGATATAGTTAATCTTTGAGACAACTTATCCAGGAATATGTTTTGAAAATCTTAAGTGTTTAATGATTATAATTTATGAAGAATTTTACTCTTGTTTGTATACAGCAAAGTTTAAGGGTTTTTACCAGAACAGGATCTTGTTTTCATGACACTGCAGTGAGAAATTTTTCAAAAACCTTGTAAGAGAATCTCATACATACAATGGCTGAGTTCTCTGCTGAGTTTCAAGCAGCTGCTGCCCTGCTTAGACGAATGGAAGCTCCCTTGTTTCCTGCTGAATTTGTAGTGATAACAATCTGGTGAGAAAACTTGTGTTGCAACAATCTGGTGAGAGAACTTTTAGCCTGCCTACTGTGAAACCAGCTTTGTTTAGAGTCATTTATAGATTTCTTGTTTGGGAAGATGTCTACAAAAGAAGGGGAGATAACATAGCTACAGTTGTTTCCAGTGTCCAAAAAAGATTGCTATTCAAAAGAGAATGTGGCTGGAAGCAATGAATGATGGAGGTATTTTAGAAATAGATTTTATTACTTAGAATTGGCAGTAATTTCAATAAATATGTCGCGATATTAATACACTCTTACCTTTGCAATGTGCTCCCAGTTCAAATTCAGGAAGTAATAATGAGATTTCGTTTAGTTGTCTAGGGAATCTCCTAAATATATTTTTTTTTGGTCTTGCGTTGCCCTACAACCCACTAAAAATAATTAAGCTATTTATATAAATGATTACAAATATTTTGTACTGAAATGTAGATATTCAGACATGTAAATGAATGGAATAAGTGAAATACTCTTGAAACACTATAGATATGAATAATTTTATGCATACCAATAAAAATAGAGGTAGGAAAAAAGATTTCTCATAGTAGTAAAAAATAAAATACAAGAAGTCTACAACCAAAGGAAGATTAACAGATAACTTATATGTCAAATAGCATAACACAAGCAGAAATTAAAATTATGCTATAATATTTAATGATAAGAAATATATTTATGGTGCGTTGGTATTGAAAAATGACCATACAACATCATTTGTCTCCTACAATTCGTCACTCCCCAATAAAAACTGTTTGAGATTAAAAAAAACCCGAAAACAAAAAAAAAATCAACAAAATATGTCCTGAAAAATGGTGCAGTTGTGGTAGAGCAGAAGAATGATGCTTATTGGTATCATGCATCTTTACCTTGCTCATTTGTGACAATTACAATAACTTCTCAGCAGGGCATCTAGCAGCCATTAGGGTAATAAAACCCAATTTTAAACACATTTATCCTAACAATTTACTCTCAAGTTGTCCACAAAGTACCTTAAAGATTTTACACACACACACACACACACACACACACACGTTTTTTTAAAAAAAAATTGACAGCAAATTAATTTTCAAAAAGAAAACAAGCATCAAGACAAATATGAGTTATTGGCAGTAGGAAAGAAGTCTAAGTAATATAAAATCAGTTACACTCTAAAGTCATTTATGAAATTTGTAAAGGACCATGCCTTGTTGCTTCAATTTTTTTCGACGAAGAACTGTAGAATGGCTCATCTTCATTGTACTCGTCAAATACGCCCCACCGGAGATGGGCCCATTCATGGACAAACACTCTACCTGTCGGGAAATATTTAAAATGTGTTCATAAGTCAGGTGAAAAGATTTGCCTCTAAAATACCTTAAAGGCATTTTTCCAATCAATTAAATGATAGCTGTGAATATTATTAGTTTATGAACTATTTTATACCACATAACATTATGCAGAATATTAATGTTTATTACACATAATACTTAAAACAAGTAAAATCTTTGCAGAGTGCATGCTATGGGCAGATTGGATTTTGAGCCTTTGAAGTTAAATAGTAGGGGAGACTGATAAGCACAGCGTAGTTAGACACAAAGGTCATTTGGGATGGAAAAGATAATAGTCTATATCATCTGTTCTTCCTTCCATTCACCCAATTATTTTATTTCTCTAGCTATTGTAGCGTGTCCTGCCCCTTCTCATCTTTGTATCCTTGGACAAATTGCTTAACCCGTTATACCTCGATTTCTCTTCTATAAAACCAATTCACAAAGGGAGTGATAGTGCCTCCTCAGGGGAGAAAATGGTTTCTGGGAGGGAAAAAGGCCTTAAGTGTTGTAATAGTTTATGTCAAGCATGAAGAACTGAAATTTTAATCTGTATTTTAAATTAAGATCTGAAAAGATGACTTAAAGAGAAGGCATTTCCTATGGTGCTATGTTCAATATTTCTTCCCTTTAACATATACAAGACATTGTACCAAACATATAAAGTTATCTAATTGAATGTTCAAAACAATTCTCCTGGGCAGCAATTCCTATATCAACCTTTTATACACAACAATCACAAAGGGATTGAGTCATTGACAGGAGGTCATACCCGGCTAATAAACAAGCGAGACAGGATTTACACCTCTGTAATAGTCTCATTTCAAAACTTGCAAATCTATGTGGATACAAAGCTACTTTCTGAAAACATTATGTATATATACATGTTAAATGTTAAATATATGTGTTTTCAGCCCAAATTCCTACCTGATGGTCCGTATTCTTTTTCTTTTTTTCCTAGTAGAAAGTCAGGTGTGAAGTGAATGAATTCTCCTTTTTCTCCACATTCTGTGAACTGCCTTGTGTACGGTTCATCTCTACCTTGGAGGGTCGGTGGTGCAACTACAATATCAGCCTGAGAAGGTTTAAAAAGACTGTTTAAAACCCAGAAATAGAAATGACATTTGGTCTGAAAAACTATAGAACCGAGAAATGTTATTTTTTTTAGAAAAAAAAAATTAAATTGTGATTATAGTGAAAGTTTGCAGAAAAGTTAGGTTCTCAATCATTCACTGTTTTACTTTTTACCTCCTCTCCTTCCCTTCCCCCTCCCCCAGTTCACTTACAAAAAAATATATATTTATTTATTGTTGCACAATTACTTCCCTCCCCCACGTCTCCCTAGTCCTCTTTGCAATGTACCTCTTCTTATTCTGGCTGCTGTTCTATGTATAAAGTCTAATCCTATATTCCTTTTAAAGAGTTCTTTCCTTTATCTGTTCCAATTAAGTATTTGTTATTTATCCCCTCTTTTCTTAGTTTCCTCCATGGCAGTCCTGTTTTATAACAATGGTGTTATGCAGTATTTGTCATTTTCTGTTTTACTTACATGTGTATAGCTCTCTAGTCTGGGCCTCTTGTATTGAGGACTTGCCTTCCAAGTCTCAGGAATTAATATAGATACAGTTTTGAAAAAAAATCTTTTTTCTGTGGCTTCAAACAAGTAAGTAGAAGCTGCAGTCACCATATCCTAGTATTAAAGGAAAAAAATACATGTGAGGAGAACCAACTAAGAGTCAACTCAATGAGCACATGGTAACCATAGGCATTTCCTTTCTTATGAGTAAGTAAAAGTAGCTTTGAAAAATTGAGTCTCTATGACTCCAATTCTGCTAACTGTTGGAAATGACAGCTCAATCTTGAACATTTAAATATGTTTTTCCCTTGCTTGCTTATTGCCTTGGAATTGGAAACAGTTCACAGATGAACCTCTATTAGATGTCTGTGGCTGTAAATCAATCATAGGTGAGGACATTTCTCATCTTTCTCCCTCAAGGCCACTGGTGGACTTGAACTCCCATAGATTCATGGATTTGGGTTATCAGAGTAACTCTCTATGAACTATACCACAAGAGCTCCCTAAATACATTTTAATTCTCTATAATCACACATGAAAAAGCAAAGGCTTCTATTTATTGTTAATAGGAATTATTTAAGTATTATTATGATGCCTTAGATCTAATTGTGATTTTAGTACTTCTTAAATTTTAAATCTTGGCTAATTTTTGAAACTGTTTTGAACATCAATATCCTCATCACATAAATGAACGATATTATTTATATTTAAAGTCGGCAAAAAGAAAGAATAAATTATAACGTGCTCTAGAAATTATTAGGACTTTACTTCTTATCCCAGAATGTCTACTGAAAGAATCCAATCACAGGAAGCAGCAGCTGTGATCTTTCTCTCTTTGAAGGCTGTAAAACAACCCTACCCCCTTTCCCAGAGATAGTTATCAGAGACCCCAGTCCACTTTCCTATCTTGTAGAAAACAACTGTTAACATTTCCTTCCCCAAGTTCCTTGTAAGAGAATATAAACTCCTTCTCTAACTTTTAGTGGAGGCTGGTCTTCTGCTCGAGAGCTAATCCAGCAGTTTCTCCTCAATAAACTTTCTTGGCCTAAGCTGGGTTCTGTCCTTCCTCAGCAACCTTACAGAAATATCTAGTAAACCAGTAATATCATTATTCTATAAGAAGTCAGAGCAGTGAGCAGTTTTGCTCTAGGAATAAGTTCCTAAATAATAAGTATGATCACAAGAGAGGGACAGATAGGCTGGGATCTCTGATATGGGCCCAAGTGTGATATGGGCCCATGGTGCTAGAAAAATTCATAAGAACAAATGAGATAGCTAACTCTGTTAACAAGCTGAAAATAATATCACCTTTTTTTTCTGAAGTCCAAGGCTATAATTATGACTAAGATGCATAATCCTCTTCTAGAATTTACATCTGTTGTTGTTGTTGTTGTTGATTGCCTTCAAGTTGAGCACAACTCATAACGACCCTATAAACAAAAGGCCTGAAGCCCCTCTACAACTATTGACATTTATCAAAGTTCATAGAGTTTCCAGAGGCATGTTGTTTAGGAAGTAGATAGTGGGGGAAATGTTATTGTTATGAACTGCTGAGTCTGAACTGATTCATAGCTGACCCTAAAGCAGATTTTCAGAGACAATAAATTGCATGGCAGAAGACTGCCTATCTTTCTCTCAAGGTGAGACTGGTGGATTTGAACTGAGTACCTTTGGATTAGCAGGTCAATTCTTTAGCATTAAGCCATCAGAGCTCCCTACTAAGGAAATAGATTGAGTAAGAGACACTTGCAGTGATCTATTCTATGTGGTTAAATCCTATCAATAATTGGGGCATTATGGACATTGGATTAATGTCAGTCTTCATCATCTTCTTGGCAGTTTCCTAATGTACACTATTGTTTCTGTCCAGGAAAAACCTCCTCTCCATGATGTATGGCCACATGACTAGCTTGAGTATTGTTATGTTTTCAGGTTGTAGATGGATTGCAGAGACCTCCATCAGATGACTGTGACTTCTGTGGGCATCCGGGGTGGGTTTGTATGGTTCCCACAGGCTATCCAAGAAGAATTCTTCTAGAATTCCATGTCTTAAATCTATGTCTAGATACCCATATCCCAGTTGGATCAAAGAAAATTGATGCCAACATTTTAAAAACCATGTTTTTTTGAAACCAAGAAGAAATATGAACTAGGAATAGGAAAACTGAAATTTGAGCATTTCAACTCATGAATTATTAGCCAAAACAGCATGATACTCATTCTGGTCTGATACTTTATTGACTGTGTCACAGTCACAAATTATTAGTTCGCAATTGTATCAAAGAGTGATTTTTGCCATCCAAATGAAATAATGGGAGGTCTAGTGACATAGTCTTTTAAGGAGCTGAGCTGGTAATCCAAAGGTCACTTCTCTCCCATAGTTCAAATTCACCAACAGCTCTGCTGGAGAAACATGGGCAATCTCCTCTCATGCAGTTTTTACCTTTGAAAATCTAAAGAAGGGTCAGCTATGAATTGGTTCTTACTTGACAGTTATGAGCTATTGTTGTTGTTATATGTCATTGAGTTGCCTATGACTCATAATGACCGTATGTACAATAGCCCTAAATCCTGCTCTGTCCTGTGTCAATCTTGTTGTCTCTGACACACCTGCCTTCATTGCTCTAATCAGAGTCAATCCATCTCATCGAGGGTATTCCTCTCTTGTGCTGTCCCTCCATCCTCCCAAGCATGATGTCTCTCTCTAAGGACTGGTCCCACCTTGCAACATGTCCAAAGTAGGTCAGACAAAACTTCAGAATCCTAGCCTCCAAGGAGCAACTTGGTCTCACCCTCTCTAGGATGTACTTGGTTGTTCTCTTAGCAGTCCAGGGTATATTCAATACTCTTCTCAAGCACAACAGCTCAAAGGCATCAATTTTCCTTCTCTCATCCCTGGTCATCGTACAGTTTTCTGATGCATAGGAAGTAGTTGTAAAGACTATGGTCTGGATCAGGTGCACCTTAGTTATGAGTTAGTGAATGAATTAAAGCCAGAATTTTTGTCTGTTTAAATTCAAAGCCCATGTACTTTACAAAAGCACATTATATGAATCTTGTATTTTAGCTCTGACCCTGTCATTTAATTTGAGACTGGATAAGTAATTTAACCAAGTAATAATATATGCAGAACAAATTATACAGGAGACGTGGCTCTATGAGGAGAAATGTGACATCAGGGTTGGAGGAAGACTCATCACCAATCTGTGTTGTGAAAATGACACAACTCTATTTGCGGAAACTGAGGAGGACCTGAAGCGCTTGCTGCAGAACATCAAGGACTGCAGCCCTTAATATGGATTGAAGCTGAACATTAAGAAAACAAAGATTCTCACCACTTCCTGACTGGAAGTATCATAATAGATGGTGAAGAGATTGTTAACAGCTTTAGTTTGCTTGGCTCCACAATCTTGGCACCAGCAGTCAGGAAATTAAAAGACATGTTGCATTGGGAAAGTCTGCTGTCAGAGACCTCTCCAAAATACTGATAAGCAACGATGTCAGTCTGGAAACTAAGGTGCACCTGATACAAGCCATGGTCTTTGCAATCACTTGCTATGCATCAGAAAACTGGACAATGACTAGGTGTGAGAAAAGAAAAATTGACACCTTTGAGCAGTGGTACTGGAGAAGAGTATTGCATATACCATGGATTGCTAAGAGAATAAATAGGTTCATCCTAGGGAGGGTGCAAAACCAAGCTGCTCTTCGAAGGAAAGGATTCTGAAGCTTCATCTTTCCTACTTTAAACATGTTGCAAGTTCTGGACAATTCCTTGGAGAGGCACATCATGCTTAGGAGGGAGGAAGGACAGTACAGGAGAGAAAGACCCTCAATGAGATGGATTGATTCAGTTACTGGGGTAATGGGGGTAAGTGTGTCAGAGACAGTGAGATGGACACAGGCTAGAGCAGAGTTTAGGGATGTTGTATGTAGGGTCCCTATGAGTCACCTGTGACTCGATGGCACGTAACAACAACAACAACAACAACAACAACAACTCTCTATACTCCAATTTTCTGTTCACTAAAAAGGATGACCTAATTTTTCTGAGAGGATAAAAAGATAAACATTTTCAGAGTTCCAGGAGAATGTTAGAATAGCCATGCAACCTAAGCCTACCGCTAACAATTACATTTTTAATTCTAATATACAACAGAGACTCTCTGAAAAAATCCTTTGCACATAGAGATAATTTTTCCAAATAATTACTTCTGAGGCTCAGAAATATTTGGGACAGAGTCAACTGTGCACTATATTGCCATCAGTTAAATTCTGACCTTCCAAAAATGTAAACTTTTATGAGCAGAAATTGCCCATCTTTCTCCTAGAGTGCACCCAATGGATTCATACTGTCAATCTTTATTCACAAAACTTGCCACCAGGGCTCCTTTTGTGCATTTTAAGAAGCTACTGAGGATGTTGGAATGAAGCTGGGTAGTCTCATCTAGAAAATTCATCTCTCAATCCTCATATCAGCATTGTCTTCACTGTACCACACTGCTTTTAAACTTCCCAGAGCATTAAGAAATTTCATTAATAATCCTTAATTTTCCTTTTCTTCTCCATAATTAAAATAGCATTACAATACCTTTTCTTTCTTACCTTTATTTGTTTAATTATATTCTCATCTTCTTGCACATCAGGGTGAATAGCAAAGATAATGTCTTCATAGCCACTGTTATTCAGCTTAATCAGGGAAGTATTTGAGCCCTGCAGCAGGCAGAGGACTAAAAGGAAAACAGAATTCCTGAACAGCCCCATTTTTCCTCTCCAGCTATTCCTGGCTTGTTCAAGAGACTTTTGTTTCCCCCTTCTCTGTCTTATATAGTTCTAGACATTATCTACATTGGCTGATTATGGGATGTTGACACATAACATAAAGGTCATGATGACTTATGTAAAAATTATTTGACTTGAGTTTACATAATTGTTTTATTATATGTTATTAGATGAATAATGAGGAAGTAAACTAGAAGTCTGATCTTTTTATAAACGGCATTGCATATTTTGCACTAGGGTGGCCGAGTGGCAAGGAGTTGTACTGCCAATCCAAAGCCATGGTTCAAATCCAACAGCTGCTCTGAAGGAGATAGATGGGTGATCTTCTCCCATGTAATTTACTGCCACTGAAAACCCACTGAAGAGAATAGAATATACTCTGTTTTCTATGGATAGAGATGTAAATATTAATAAAAAATATAAAGCAAAATTAATAGCAACAGTAATACTACTGGTGTTCCTTAAATTTACAGTTATGTAATCATTATAAGTAATGATTTACTAGTGGTATAAATAATGAAAAAGAATGGAAGAGTAAATGTAAATGACACCAAAACTGGTAAGGTGGCCTACAGATCTAAAGAAAAGAATTTTAAGGATCTTTATAAATTAAAGAAGATTTAATAGAGTTAAACTATTAGCAACATTTATATTAAATCTTACTTTGTAAAAAAGTGCAAGGATACATAACATTTGATAGTACACATAAATTATCCCATTATTTCAAAATGTTGAGTAAAAGTATATATTTTCAATCAAGAGTAATTTAAGAATTCCATTAGTGAACATTTTATATTAATTCAGGTATCTAGTTGGAGAAATTATATAATAGATGAGAAAATTTCCCGTATTAGTCTCATAAGTCCTAGAAATTTTATATTTAAAAATTATTATTATATATATATATATATAGTTACATGCTACTTAGTCAGCTTCAACTCATCGCAATTCTGCCAAAAAGAAATCTTTCCAATTCTGTGTCATCTCCGCCATGAGCAAGCACTTTGTCACAGTCACTATAGCAATCCATCGCTTTGAGAATCTTCCTCTCCTTAGCTGATGCTCTCTCGGCTCCTCTTGGTAAAATATCCAAAGTTTGTGAAACAAAGTCTTAACCATTCTTTGCTTTAAGAAATATTTGGCTGTATTTATTCTAATTGTTGTTGTTGTTGTTAAGTGCCGTCGAGTCGTAGGCGACTCATAGTGACCCTATGAACGAAAATCCTCCACATTTGCATGCGTGATTTTCATCCTTTCTCCAGATTCATAGGGTTTCTGGAGGCAAGATTTTTACAGAAGTGGATGCCACTCCTGCTTCCAGTAGTAAAGGTTAGGTTTTTGTCTGTCCATAGGATAGTCAACACTTTTTGCTAGGACTGCAATTCAAAGAATCAATTCTTCAGTCTTCCAACTTTTACATGCATATGATGCAATTGAAAATACTTTGCTTGGGGCAAGCACACCTTTGTCTTTAAATTGACTTCCTTCTTGCCCTTTATCTATTTATAGAAATACTTGGCAGCAGATTTCCCCAATGCAACATTCTTTTGATTTCCAGATTTCTACTTCCACGTTGGTTGTAGTTTCACGCAAAATTAAATTGACAGCTAAATTTTTTTCTCTCCATTTTTAATGATGTTGCTCATTGAGTTAGAGGTGAGGATTTTTATTTTCTTGCTATTTATATGTAATCCACACAAAAGGTTGTTATAAATGATCTTCTTCAGTAATTGCTTCAAGCCCTCTTCACTTACCACAAGCAATATTGTCTCATCTCATGTTTAGTATTTTATTAATTTCTTCTTTCATCATTGTTGTTGTTGTTGTGTCCACCCATAGCTGACCCGTGGCAGGTTTTCTGAGGCACTTAATTGCGCAGGAGGAGATTGCCCATCCTTTCCTAAGGAACAGCTGGTGGATATAAACTGCTTATCTCATGATTGGTGATTATTTTCATTACCGTTAGGCATGTAGTGTCGTTTTTCTAGCTTTCCAAACATACTTTATGTTAAATTATTTTTATGTTGTTGTTGTTGTTTATTTCTGTTTTATTTCCATTCCAATCTTCGATTAGTTTCCATGGCTTTAATATTTTTTTCTACAGAATCATTAAAAATTATTTTATACTGGTTTACATATAATATTCATGACATTGTTTTTCACATCGGACCTTTCCTCTTCCCTTGACCAGTCCCTTCCTCCACCCATCAACTTGTATGAACCCATATTTAAGCCCCGCCCTCCCCTTGGATCCTCACATATGCTTTACAATAATGGTCCTATACAGTATTTGTCTTTATGAGACTGAGTTAGTTCACTTACCATAATGCTCTTTGATCTCTCTCATGTTAGGTAGTATTTTACAAAATCAGTACTCCTGCGTGTTGTATAGTATTCCATTGTGTGAAATTATGGTACATTCACACAATGTTGTTTATTAATAAATGCCTAAGCATGCATATTCAGTATTATTTTCCACATATTCCATAGATTTTTAATATACAATGTTCTAGTCTAGATACTCTATGTTGTTTCAATGACCAAATGGACATTCGGCTCAACATAGTTTTAAATTTTGGGGTTTGTTTTTTTTTTGGAGCTGCTTGAAGCAATTAATACTGAGACTGTCTTGCTAAAAGCCTACCAGTATCTTTAAATATGATTCAGTGATGGTGGATTAGGGAGCTTTAGAACCTAGTTGTGCCAAGGCCCCTTCTAAACCCTGCCAGCACATCTGGCAAGTACTCTGTTGATGTGCTGTTATAGTCATTTTTGGAATATTCTCGGCAGGATCTCACTTACATGTGATATTAATGATTGTTTGATAATTTCCACACTGAGTTGGGTTACCTTTTTTGGAATAGAAAAAAATATGGATCTCTTTGAGTCATTTGGCCATGTGGTTGTCCTCTAGATTTCTTGGCACAACCTGGTGAGCACATGAAATATTTCATTTGGTATGCATTACTTTCTAAGGCCTGGTATTTTGCTATTTCTTTCAGAGTAGCTTGAACTTCCTCCTTCATCACCATAATCTCTTGTTCATATATTGCTTCATTCAATTATTCTGTAGCAACCAATTATTTTTGGTACAGTAACTCTGTGTACTCCTTCCTTCTTGTTTTGATGCTTTCTGGGTCATTCAACATTCTGCCCAAAGGATCCGTAAGTATTTATTGCATCTTAAGGCTTGAATTTTTTTTTTCTTCAGTTCCTTCAGTTTAAGAAATGCTGAGTGAGTTCATCCCTTTTGATTTTCCAACACCGGTTCTTGGCACACTTCACTATCACACTTTGCTTTGTCTTCCCATGCTGCCCTTTGGAATCTTCTGTTTGGCTCCTTAACACTTGATTTTTTTCCCCTTTGCTTTGGGTTCTTGGGGATCTAGTGCAATATTCAGTCTCTTCTGAGACCCATTTTGGTCTTTTCTTCTACCTTTGTCTTTGTAATGACCTTTTGCATTCTTCCTGAGTGGCATCCACTTGCTAAATAACATGCCTCCTGAAACTCTATGAACTTTGATAAAGGTCGATAGTTGTACAGGGGCTTCAGGCCTTTTGTTCAAAGGGTCACTATGAGTCATGCTCAACTTGAAGGCAATTAGCAACAACAATAACAATATTCTTTTTTTTTTTTAATAACAATATTCTTAATCTCCTTCCACAGTTCATCTGGTCTTCACCCATTAGTGTTCAAAGTCTCAAACCCATTCCTGAGATGGTCTTTAAATTCAGGAGGGATAGTTTCAAGGTCAAATTTTGGTTCTTTTGATTTCATTTCTCTTTAGCTTCACTTTGAAATTGCATACTAGTTGATGATCTGATCCACAATCAGTAAGTACCTGGCCTACTTTTCACAGCTGATAATGAGTTTCTCCAATGATTTTTTTTTTCACACATATGGAATCAATCTGATTCCTGTGTAGGCTGTCAGGTGAGGTCCATGTGTATAGTGTTCATTGTGTTTCTTATGAAAGGTATTTGCAATAAATAAATAATTTATTCTAAAAACTTCTATCATTCTATCTCCAGCCTCGTTTCTGTCATCAAAGATGTTTCCCAACTTCTTCTCCTCCATTCCCAACTTTTACAATTCAGTCATCCATTATTATTAGGGCATCCTGGTTGCATGTTAAATCTACTTCCAGCAGCAACAAATGGTAGAAGCCATCTGTTTCCCCTCTTTGGCTCTGGTTGTTGGTGCATAAATTTGAATGATATTGGTATTACAAGGCTCCTCATATGCATATGAATATTATCCTGTCACTCACAATATTGTTTTTCAAGATGGACCTAGAAATGGTCTTTTTAACTATGGATGTAACCCAGTTTTCCTCTCATATTTTCCTTTCTAGTGTAGTAGGTCATATGATTGTCAGATTATAAATGTCCCATCCCAATTTCTTCAATGCCTAGTATGTCAATATTTATGCGTTCCATTTCTTCCTAAAAAATCTTCAATATTCCTGTATTCATACTTCTCACATTCCATGTTCCAATCATTAGGGGCTATTTGCAAATGCTTCTCCTCTTTTGTGATTCCCAACAGAAAAGTTCAGCTTCTGGTGCTATAACTGCTAGTCTATCTAACCTAAAGTGTGCTCTGCTGTACATAGGCTATGGCACTAGGGATATTACGGCAAATGTTAGGTGGATCTTAGCTGAATATTGAGAGTACCAGAGTAATGTCTATCTGTGTTTCATTGACCATGTAAACACATTTGACTGTGTGGATCATAACAAACTGTGGCTAACTCTGAGAAGAATGAGAATCCCAGAATATTAAATAGGGCTTTTGCAAAAACTATACTTGGACCAAGAGGCAGTTGTCCAAAAAGAACAATATTGCAGGTTTCAAAATCAGGAGAGGTATATGCTAGAGATGCATTCTATCTCCATACTATTTCTACTATATGTGGTACAGATCACTCGGGATGCTGGGCTCTGTTCGGAGAAATGTGGCATTAGGATTGGAGGAAGAC